AAAAAAAAAAAAAAAAAAGCTTTTATTAAATGAGTTTTTGTGTCTGCACTTTATTTACAGTGGGGGAAATGTGTTGTTGTGTTGCAGGGACGCCGGGAACATCAAAGCCAGATTAGAACATCTGGTAAGTTCTATTCGACACACATACAGACACTCACGCACACACACTTACGCACTTTGATATCTGCATTCTTAATGAAACCTCCGCAATTGGAGCTGAATACCTGCAGCTAACAGGCAGGAAGAGAGAGACACAGAAAACAGGGATAGCGGGAGTATGCTGTCTCCCCCAGAGCCTGGTCCAGCTTTTATATTAGCATTTCATTTATCCCCAATCCTGCCCAAACACACACACAGGTAGTCCACTGTTCTCCCTCATTTTACCCAGTAGTTGTGGACATTTGTAAGGTTTGGCTTGCGTGCATACCTGTTTGCACATGCTTGCATGAAAGGAAATGCTTCCTTTTTTTCAACCGACACACTCCTTTTCCCTCTTGCTCCCGCTGTCAGCATGGGGCCTTTCCTCAGTCTTCTCCCATCCATGAATCGAGAACCTGCTGGAAACGCTCTCCTGGGACAGCCCTGAAAATTTAATGACCGACGTTTCAGGGTTTCTCTTGCTACTTGCTTTAATACGGGGTCAGAGTGCCGTGCAACAAAGTGAAAAGGTTCTCTCTCCTCTTTTTGGGTGGGAAGAAACCAAGGTTTGATGTGCCCCATATTCCAGGGGATGAATTATAGACAGGGGTCAGTGAGGGTCCCGGCTCTCTGTGGATGTCACATGCCCTCCCTCCCTTGCCTCCCTGCATACTAAACTGCAGCTCCCAGCACCCTACGCAAATGACCCCCGCCCCACCACGCGTTACGCAAATGACCCTGAATATGCCACACAAATGACTGACCCCGAAATTCAAACAGTTCTCAGTAACTCTTCACTTGAGCGAGCGGCAGATCTCGTGAAGTTGAAATCAGATTTTTACATTGTCGAGCTCGGCTGCAGGATTGTTCTTGATGCTGTTGTTGACAGTTTCCCAAGTTGGATTTGAGTCGGAATGGACTTACAGTGGAGTAGTTTTACACATAACTCATTCGTACTAGCAATACATGTTACAGAATAACACAATTATTAATTCCTCATTTAAGGCATTGTGTTCTTCTTTGAGCACTTACTGGAGTTACTCAGAGAGGCACTTGTTTGCACTTTTGTTTTTCGATTGTCTTCATACCACTTCACTAGCTCACTGACGTTTAATAGTTTACAGTGAGTGGTAAATTGCAATCTTGCACACTCTTTTCCTTGACGTCATCACTGAGAGGAGCTGAATTGTCTGCAAAAACTAATGTACGTGCCACGAACGTTACTTTTTTCATATCCTATAGGAATTTGTATAGATGTCTCACTGGGAGTTTTAATAAAACATGAGACATTAAATATAGCACACGATATAGAACCGGTCTCGTTTAGGTTTAGAGATGTCTATAGGTGGGTGTCTACAGGTGTGATTGATGCAGCAGTCCATAAAAAGCCGTGTGAATTATTCAAGAGGAGATTAGATGCATAAACAGCATTAATCAATACGTGTATGGGCAGTTATATCTTGGCAAACATTATAAGAGCGCGTGTCTCATTTTGATGTGAGTCTTCCTCTTAAAGGCATGCGTAGGAATGCAAACTAATTAAAATTAGACATAATGATACTCAGTCAGTATATAGTGGAGACAAATATTCCTGCATATACTTTACTTCATGTGTTGTATACACAAGTAAATGAGTGCTCTGAATTTTCATGTTTTCAGGCTTCTTAAAAACATATTTGGTCAAAATCACCTTAAATCACAGGTGTTTGAATCACAATTTATACGCTAATGCTTATAGCTTGTACAGAACAGTAGGATTTGTTTTCACGCATGCACATCAGTTCTTATGGCACATATTGCTATGCTTGTGTTCATTTTTTTTGGCTGATGTTAGTGCAGCCGGTTTGCATAGATTTTATTTTGTGTGGGTTTTTGCCTTGAATGTATCCACAGGGACTTATTATAACATGGTTCTTAGTTACTGCTCTGTCGTTATACTCATCAGGAGAGCTCAGAAGTTAAACATTACACATTTACACAGAGAGAAAGACACACATGCAAATACACATTGGTATATTTGCCGGCATTTTATTTTTTATTTTTTTGGTATATGTGTCTCTGGGAATTTGAATACCTGAATATTGAGTGTTTGAATTTATGGGTGTGTTTATGCTTATGGGAAGATTGCACCCCAGCAGTCAGCTGCCTGGGGAGTGTAAGACTCTGATTACGATTCGGGACAGAGAACTGTAAATAATGGAGCTCATCTCCCTCTGAGGTAGAGTTGCAGGGCTGTTGGAAATGTTGTTTCCCTCAATGCCTCACACATATATCCCTGTAGATTTCTAAACAGGCATTTATGACTTTCCGTTGATCTACTGCTCTTAAGATTAGTATATCAACCATTTTTACGTTTACTATGGCGTCACTAGCTGAAAGCATATTGCCATTTCAAACATCTACCTTGAACCTGGTCTCTTTTCAAGGAGTCACTTTTTATTTTGACAAAGGATTACTTCTTAATATTACTGTACATAATTTGCAATGATTGTCTGTAACTGTTCCACAATTTACTCAGAACAAAACAATATTTCCCAAATTTCCCACTGATGTGACGATCAAGCTTCTGTTCGCAATGTTCCGGTGCTTGATTTTTCATGATGAATACTAATGTTACTTCCTCCTGTTTAGTTAAGTGTATGAGTGAATGACTGGTGAAGTAATTAGGTGGGCAATTAAGATCTATGTGGTCTGAGGTTTGTTTTATTGTTCATGTTTGGTTTGTTTTCGTATTTCAGCAGATTGACTGAACGCGATCAGTAGCAATGCAGAGAGAAACACTGAAGTTAATTGCTCCCAGTGCTCTGCGTTAGTTTCTGCTTTTGTACACACACACGCACACACACACACACACACACTCATATACAGTACACGTCCAAGCACACACACACATCCACATGAACACACATGCACCGAAGTCTGAGTTGGATGATTCCTTGCTCTGGGAGAAGTGAAACGATAGGGAAAGAGGTGGCCTACAGCAGCTAATCAGTCCAGATGCACGGCTTTTTAGAGCGAAGCAGAAGAAAGCCAGCAGCTCAATCAATACATGAGGAATCAGCCTCATCAGGATTACTGGCTCAATCAGCAGCTGTACCCATCGTTCTACCACACACACTGCCTGAGGAAGGATGGAAGAAGAGAGGGGGAGTAGAAGAACAGGGAGAGGGGAGATACGTCATCCGTCCTGGGAGGGGAGGCTGAAGAGAAACGTGATGGTGGAGGCTGGTTTATGGGTCAGTCCAGGGTTGCAGGTTAAGTTGAGGTCACGATTCGCGGAAAAGCGAACCGACAAATCTGTGTTGCGGATTGTGCATTCAATCTCTTGATATCACAGCGTAGGCCTTTTCTCAAAACACTGGAAAGATCCTTGAAATTTTTGTAAATGTTATTTTTTATTGTTTGGTCAGTAGTTCCAGCGATTGTGTCTTGTAATTTTGGCACACATCTTACCACTTGTGCTGTAATCATTAAAAGAAAATGCAGTTCACACAATCAATTAAATTACTGCATCTGATTCTTTGTTAAATCTGCCGTCAGAAAAATGCATCATCTAATTTCTATGTTCGGTAGTTGACCCTCTGGCAACTGTGAATCATAATTCACATGATTACTGACTGTATTACCTTTAAACCTTCCTCTTTATTATCAATGTTAAACATCAGTAATTTGATTTTCACACATGTAAATCACACAGCTTCTCCATCAGTACAGCCAAGTATAAAGATTGCTCTTCAAGTAACAAACAGACCACAAAATGTCCCTACAATCCTGCCAATTCCTCATCATTTTTTCAAGATATAAGATGTATGCATATAGTTTTACACTTGTCCAACTATAATGTTAAAAATCACAAGATGACAAACAAAAAAAGAACATTATACAGCATTTGGGGACATTGGGTCTTCTAAGTTAGGATTTCAGCTTCTTTGGGAGCTGCCTTACAACGTTTTAGTTTTAAAATATTGTACCACTTTAACTATTTATGCATTGAAAGATGCTCTGCATCACAAGAAAACAAGTTTGTTTTATCAATCTAGTATTTATGATGCATCACCAGACTGTTGTCCACATTTCTCACTTCAGAGATGGTTGATGTCCGAGCGTCCCTTGGTGAGTTGAAGAGTTTACTGAGGCGAGTGGCCTGGTTACCTACTGACAGATAGGGACCAGCAGCTGTAGCCAGGACGACAAGCTCACACACCAACCGAGTGACAAACCTGGCGTCATTTATTATGGCAGGAGAGTAACCTCGGTTTAAAAAGAAAAGAAGACTTTGAGGAGAGTTTAGAGCTTGGACTGATATGTAATTGATTCTTTTCTTTAATCTGTCTTTGTCTGTGTTGTCAAACTTTAATTGTCTCATCAAACGCTCTCTCTTTATTGCTCCCTGTATCTCTCTTTGTATTTCTTTGTCTCTGACTGTCTTTCTTCCTCTGTAATATGATTGTATAGGATAAAGAGGTGAAAACAGCTCCGATAGAGAGATTCTGGACAGATAAAGGAGGGGGGAAACAGGGAGAGAGGGGTGGAGGGGGGGATTGGTTGATAATCTGCAAACAGATTTCCATGCTTATTACACTAATGATTTCATGATATTTGATGTGGCGGCGGGGGTTGGGAGGATGTGGAGGCAGGGGAGGGGTGGGGGTCTCGTTCTCTCTCTCTCTCATCTCAACGCAGCGGCTAAATGATGGAGTAATTTGAGTGACCTCTGACTTGGGGCAGGCCCAGACATAATTGCATGTCATTCTAGCACGGAAAAGAGGAGTGGGGGGTAGAGATGGGAAGGTGGAGGGGGGCTCCACAAAGTACAAAATATTCCCCCATCTATGCCTCCTTTCTTTCTCACATATCACTTGTTTTTCTCTGTCTCCTTTTCACGTGTCCCCATCAATGTCTCGCTGCTCCATCTTGTCGCCTGTCTCACCGCGGCTCACTCCTCGAGTGTTTCCCAAAAAAAAAAAAAAACACCCCCAAACAAAA